GCCCTCGCGGCCCCTTCCCCGCCCCGGGGCAGCCTCTGCGCTCGCACGCGGGACGAGGCTGACGCTGTCTGGAGCTTCCCTGCGGCTGCCCCGGTGCCGCGGCAGCGCCTGCCTCGTACCAGGACGTGGGCACCCCGGCAGCAGCGCCCAGGGCTCCGCATGGGGCATTTTCAGGCAAAGGGCATCCCAAGGAGCGAGGGAACTGAGCGGTGGCGGTGCCCAGAGTGGGCAGTGTGGGCTGGGCATGGGAAGGGCAGCGGAGGCTCCGGTGTCCCGGGACAGATCACCGATAGCCGGGCGCGTTCCTGCCTGCAGCTGCAGGGAGGCTCCCGCCACAGCCCCCGGCACGAGGGGACCCTGCCCGGCAGCGCGGGCTCTGCTGCCCGCTCCGCTCCCAGCCCCGGCGCCCTGGGGCCTCGCTGCGCTGCCGCAGGGACAGCTCTGCTCGTGCGGAGGGAAGTTGGGAGGCGCCGCAGCCCCGGCGCCCCGGAGCGCCCCAAGCCTCGTGYGAAGCGGGATGGGAACGTGGAGCGTCAGCTCCGCACCCGCCAGCCCGTTGGAAAGAGCTGGCTGTGAGTGTCTGCGCAGCAGCTGTGAATATTGGACTATAGATAAGGAGAGGCGCAGGGATGTTGTTTTTCCAAAGCCCGGAGCCCTGCTCCGGGGCTGGGTGTGGCCTGCAAGCGCGGCTGCACGATCCGACTTCCCCTTGCCGGAGCGGAGCTGCACGCTCGCGGCGTGACCCTTGATCGCTCGGTGCCTCCGACGCGAGGAACAAAGCGATGGGACTTTACGGCGGGGCGAGAGGATCTCTACGGAGAGTTAGGAAGGGCCGGAAGGAGGAGGGCAGTGGCGGCAGCGCGGCACCCRCCGCCCACGGCAGCCGCTGCCGCTTCCATCTGTGCCCTGAGCCGCATGGAAGCGGGGAGGAGGCGGCAGGTCCGGAGACGGGCACTGGTAATGGATTGTGCTCTATTTTCTAATGAAAGTTTCATTGGAAGTTTGTTTACAGGAAAGAAGAAATTAGCCATGGGAAGTCTCCCGGGAGCGTGGAGGGAGGTGCGCGGCTGCGGGCGACGGGACCGTGCTTCCCGTACAGAGGGGCGGCCGGGCCTCCGCGCGRCCCTTTCCCCGGCCTCGGCGTCCAGAGAGCACCCCGGGCCGTGGTGGCGGTGGGGAGGTGTCCATGGACGAGCCGCACTGGAGCACGTGCCAGAGCCGGTGCCGGGCGCGGGGCCGTGTCGGGGTGACCAAGGTGCCTGGTGGCCCCATGGCACCAACTGGTGCCTGGGGCCCATGGCAGCGGGAGGAGCGGCAGGGAATGTCCCATGCGGTGCCCGCTCCTCCCTGCGTGGGTGGGCACGGCGGCCAGGAGCCCTGGCAGGGCTGGCCTGGCTGCTGCTCTGGACAGAAGCGGCACTGTCCGTCTCCGTGTGCCCACCGTTCCTGTGGCCTTGGCTTCGTGTCTGATTGCATTTTGTTCTCGGGCTTTTCTCTGCGGTGCTTCCAGGGGTCTCGCAGCCGCCCCGGGCACTGCCAGCAGTTCTGTGCCCTTTGGGGCAGGGAGAGGCCAAGGGCCTGGCCAGAGGGTGCCGGGCGGGAGCCTGTGCACAGGCCTGYGCGTGGGCCAGCCCTGCGTGACACGAGTTGCCTTTGGCAACGTGTTTGGTGTCCAGAGCCTTTCCGGTCACGGGCCGGTGCTGCTGCAGCTCGAGGGAACCAGATACATTCAGAAAGTGTTTTACCAAGGTAGGACAGTGATTTTCCCGGCCCGCGTGGGCGTCCTCAGCACTTGGAGCCCACAGGAGAGGTTTGAAGCGCTGCGGGCGCCTGGCAGGTGCCAGGCCGTGGGCAGCAGGGACCTTGGCATTTGCATGTGTCCCTTAAGCTGCGGCCGTAATCTCGGGTAAGCCTGGGGAAGAGGGGCAGATCCGCGGCGCTCACAACGGGCGCGCTGTGCAGCGCGGCCAACAGAGAGGGCTTTGTGGGGCTGCCCGGCGGCGCCGCGCGGCCCTGCCCCGTCCTGCTGCCACCCGCGGGGCTCTCRCCACCGTCCCCAGCGCCGTGGCATGAGCTGCGGATCCCGGGAAGCTCCTGGGGAGGTGAATCCGGGCTGGGAGGTTCGGAGCAGTCAGGCAAGGCKCCCGGCATTCCTGCCCCTGGGAGCAGACGTGTGTACAGGGGCCGGGAAGGGAAGCGAAATCACGAAGCTGTTTTTAAAGCCATTTGTTTGTCCCCAGTGACAAGGAGTGGGCCGGAGGTGGCAGGCAGGGCCCGTGCGGGTGGCCGGCGCAGGCGTGGGGAGCGGGAGCAGCCCTGAGGGCACCGGAGCGGCCGCGGGCACCGGAGCGGCCGCGGGCACCACAGCCGCTGTGGGCACTGGAGCCACCACGGGCCAGCCGGGCCGGCTCTGCTTCCTGCGGGACAGCCGCGCGGGGAAGTGTCGCTCCGGGAGCTCCCCCAGCCCCTCCTTTCATCGAGAGCCTCCACACTGCCTTCATGGCGAGGGTTTTGAAATCCTGCGGCTGACCTTTCCGGCTCTGGAAGCCATCCAAGGGCTGTGTCTCCGAGCGTTGGAAAGGTTGGAGAGGAGAGCGAGCGAGAGAAAATGTCCTTTCAGCTGCGGGAGTGGGAGAGAGGAATGCGCGGGGCGGCGGGAGGGCCCCGCCGCAGGCTCGGCCCTTCCCGCGGCAGCGGCGCCCGGCGCTGCAGGTGCCTCCCGCGGGCAGCGCAGCGGGGCTGGGCATCGACCGCTGCCCCCGGCCACCCCCGTGGCCTCGGGCCTCGCCGCGGCACCAGGTAACCCGGGCTCGGCAAGGCCGCCGGCCCGGGAGCCGCCAGGCCCGCGTGGCGCCCGCGCTCGCCTCCCGCCCGCGGCCCCGGCGAGGATGGAGATTAAAGGGTAAACTGCAGGGCTCGGCCATCCGCTGCTACAGGATGCGAGCGCTTTCTAATTGTCCTCAATTAGAGACAGTGCCATTGCTCAGGCCGGCTGCGGGCAGGAAGCAGAGCCGGGYGTTCTCCGCTGGGAAACGCTGCCGGCCGGAGCGAGCGCCGTGGGGGCCGGGCTGGGCCCCCCGCGCCGGGGCACGGGCAGGTTTCCGGGGGGCAGGGGCTGCTGTGCAAGGGCCAGAGGAGCGGGAGCGAAACGGCGCCCGTGCCGCGTTAACCCTTTGCCGCTTGCTCCTAGGATGAGACCTCGGTGAGCAGCGAGGACTTTGACATGAACGACTCCACATGGATCTCAGCTGACCAGCACCTCGCGCCCAGCCTGAGCCCCAGCCAGGACGAGAGCATGCGCAGCCCGCAGAACCTGCACGGCCAGGAGGACGGTGAGCGCGGGGCCGGCCTCGCGCCGCAGCCTCTGCCACTCATTAAACATTAACCAGCCCTCCCTGATCGGGTGTCCCACCTGCAGGATGGATCTCCTATCAGCTCAGGCTTGTTCGCGCCGCTCTCTCCCAGTCCTTCCCCTTCAGCCTGTTGGCCTCTGCTCGGATAGGCCCTTCCCAAGCTGGTGGTTGTGTGGGGCTCCCGGCACATCCAGGGYGGACTTGCCAACCCCAGTGGCATGGGGCTGGCTCGGGGTTTCCCTGAGCCCTGACCTGCAGGTCGAGCACCTCCGGCCTACCCAGACACTTGCAGTGGGGACCAGGGCGTCCCACGTCCACACGGTTGCAYCCTAGGCAGACTCATGTGTGATTGCCCGAGGAAAAGGCTCCTCGTGAGCAGGAGCTGAGCGTGGTGAGAGCAGCCGGGGGCTCCCTGGCTGGCGCAGGCGGTCGGGAGGGGACGAGGAGACACGCGGGACCCGGTGCGAGATGTTGGGCTGGCTCTGCGAGACGTGCTCGGCCAGAGAGAGGAGCGGGTAAATGAGTGGTGGAAGYGGGAGCTGGGGTCAGGGTTCATCCCCGTGATGCTTGCAAGGCTCTGGTCGTTAGACTGTTACTTGGCTTTTGCTCGGGAGGTTGAATCCCTCATTGTGTCCCGTGCCGAGGCTGCCGGAGGAGCAGGAAGGGAGCGGAGGAGGCGAGGGACAACTCGGATCGGGTCAGTGTTGCTTTAAGAAAGGGGCCTGGAAAACCACCCCAGAGGAAAGAAAGGGCTTTTGTGCTGGCAGGTCTCCCTGGGGTGGCTCTTAGCCACTTGTGTGGCCAGCGGCAGCCATGGGGCCTTGCTGCTTTCTTTATTCCAGGGCATTGTGGCCACTTGGGTTTCTATTGCAAATGTGCAGTTTGGAGAAAGTGCTGTTTTTAGAAATGCCAGCCCGGGAGCGAAGCAGCCCCAGGGAGGATGTGAAACCCGCGGGTGCTGCAGCGTGTCCAGGGCGGGCGACGCGGCAGCCGGCGGCACCTCTGCTTGCACGAGACCAGCATGGCCCAGCTGGAACCGAGACTTGCATGGCCCAGCTGGAACCGAGGCCACTTGGCTGCTGGGGAGCAGGCCGTGCCGCAAATGCTGTCCCGATGCTGGTGCCGCCCGTGCCGCCGCCGGCCGGCGCTGCCCAGCCCCAGCACCTTGCCCTGCTGCCAGCAAAGGACGTCAGCCTTGCGGCCTGGCCCTGCACTGAGCCTGGCGCCCTGCTCTGCAGCGACCCGGGTCCGATCCCTTGGCTCAACACTCGAGTGTTCAATRGGACAGTAATTTAATAGGGGACTCGGCCTTTGAGGCAATTCAGGATGTTCTCACTGAAGCTAAACCCTTTCTTTCTGCCCTCTGAGGAAATGGTTCCGATTTTTCATGCCCTGTGACTTTTTTCTTTGAAAGCAGGGGAGCCTCTCTGGAGCCCTTCTTGGCTTCTGCCATTGGTGAGGGGGTTCATTAAGGAGCTTGATAAAGTGCAAATTCCCTCTAGAAGGAGCACAAGCATCTCAGCACTCGCATGGATCAGAAGAGGGCTGGAATAGGTAGAGCTCCATGGTGGAAGYGAGTTGCCCCTGGGCTTGCTAACAGGGCAGGGAACGTGCACCGGGTGGTGCCGAGCACTCCACAGCCTCCTACTCTCAGCCCGGGACCGTCCGTGCAAGGGGCAAACGTGCTTCGCCTTTACCCTGCTGGCTTATTCAGGCCATGCGGTACAAAAGAGTCCCCGGAGAATCAACTGCGTAGGAGGAACTGGCGCGGGAAGCCACGGGAGCTCCCGGAGCCCTGCTGCACGGAGCGCCCGGCTCTGTTCCTGCCACGGCTGCATGTGGAGGCCGCTCGCTGGGGCGCCCAGCCCGCTCCTGCTCCTGCTCCTGCTCCTGCTCCTGCTCCTGCTCCCACTCTTGCTCCTGCTCCTGCTCCCACTCCTGCTCCTGCTCCCACTCCTGCTCCTGCTCCCACTCCTGCTCCCACTCTTGCTCCTGCTCCTGCTCCCACTCCTGCTCCTGCTCCCACTCCTGCAGCCGCGTGTCCAGGGCATCCACGGGGTGGCTGGAGAGCGAATCCCGCTGCTGACTGTCAGCATGCTGGCCACGTGGCTCCTGCTCTGACTTACCTCGTGCTTTTAGCCTTCCTCCTTCTCTGGAGCTCCCAAACATCCCGCATCCTGCCCTCAGCAGTGGCCACTCGCCTCCCTCAGAAAATCCTCCCTGAATCACCCTCCTCTGCTGTCATTTCTCAGTAAAAATGCTTGAAATGCATTCTCTATGAAAAGCTTCCTAAACTATGAAGTTTTACTGAAGAGCTTCCTATGTGGATAGYGGTACCTCGAAATCCTTTGAGCACGCAAGCCAGGTTTAAAGTGCTCGAGCGGCAGCGTGGGGACATGCAGCCGGCGGGCTCCGACGGCGAGGCGGGCGGGCAGCCGCCGGGCTCCGACACGCGGCCGAATCTCACGAGAATTAAAAAGCAGCTCAGGTGCAAACCAGCAGCCTATTTTGTGGCGGTGCCCGGGGCCCCGGCCGGGTAGAGCCACCCTGTGCGTGGTGACAACCCTCAGAGCAGCAGTGGAGATCGGGGCGAGGGGCAGCCTGGGGCAGCGCTGGGCTCGGGCTCGGGCTTGTCTCGTGTGGCCCCACGAAGCAGCTCCTTCCATTTTCTTCTTTGTTCCTCATCCTGCCGGCCCCGGCATGGAAAATGTGAGGCTCTCCCCGTGTCCCTTCCCCGCTAGGATGTTACTCACGTCGCAAGTGGCGCGGCAGGAAGTGAGGGGATACCCAGGGCTGCAGCAAGATCAACACGAACCTTGCGCTCCTGGGCCGAGCTATTGTGCAGGACATCCTGGAGGCTGCACGTGTGCAAGGAGGCCGCGGCCCTGCATGCCCGCCCGGCTCCGCGCCGAGCTCCGTCCCGGCCCCCCGGCTCCGGCCTGCCCCGCTCGCTTCATGCGTGAGCAGCTTCGCTTTGGTTTTGGTTCTCTCTCCATCTGTCAGGCCCCGTCTACATCCCCAGCAGAGAGCAGCGTAATGAAATCTCTCAATTACACATGACATCTGGTATGCCAGGCTGGAGCGGAGTCTCCGGGCGCGGGGACCTTGTAGTCTGTCAGGAAGTGCGATGCCTCTAAAAAGAAAACAAGCAACCGAAGCCCCCCGCCCAGCATCGAGGACRTTGCAATGCACTCACACCGACGAGCGGACACCTGAGCATTGCTGCTGATCAGGAGCATTTTCCTGCCCCCCTGTTCGTGCTGCACGGCCACCATGGGTGTCATCATGCGGGAGCCCCCAGCCCGGGCCACCTTGCCCAGCCTCTGTGCAAGGGGGAAGATGCTCGAGTATGAGATCCGCCCTGCCGGGCACGGGGCCCCCTGAGCCGAGGCTCTCCCTGCTGTCCTGGCAGCGACTGGTGGCTGATCCCGACCGTCAGGAGCAGCGGCCGCTAATCCAGACCTTGGAGAAAGGACTTTCTTAACCTACTTAGCCCTGGAGAGCCCGCGCCCYGGGGCTTCTCCTCGGGCAGCCGGGCGGGCTCCAAGGAGGATCCCAAGGACACGCGTGGAGGAGTTATCCCAGTGCTGCTGGGAGCCCCTGGGCACGTCCTGCGCCGGGAGCAGCAGGGCCGGCAGCGGGGCAGCCCCCGGACACCCTTCCTCGCCTTCCTGCATGTGCTGCAGCTCGCGGCCGCGCCGCCGCTATTTGGCAAGATGTGGGAGCCGCGCGGCGCGCGCTTGGCTTCCCGCATCCACCGCTCGGGAGAGCGGCTCCCTTTCTGCAAGGAAGGCAGTTGTCTTGCAGCCCGCGCGGCAGGAACCGGCACCGCCTCGCGCAGCAACTCGGCTCCTCCGGAGAGGCGTCCAGGCCAGCGCGCGCCTGCGGTGCAGCCTCGTCGCGGGGCCGTGCTGCAGCCCATGGGGCCGCTCAGCACAGCCCGCAGCGGGCGGCACCGTGCTGCTTCCCGCCCCGCCAGCCCTTCCTCCGCTCTCSGCTCCTTGCTCCAGGTAAACCTGCCTTTGCCAGGCAAAGGGAAGCGGCCGCAGGCTGCGCTTCCCACAAGCCGCAGCGCCTTTGGCTGGCTGGCAGGAGGAGCCCGGTGACCCCGGCTGCGTTCACCTTCCTCCGCCTTCGCCGGGCTGCAAAACCCTCATTGTCTTGAGGGTTTCCGCCAGCTACRCAGGGCTTCCCTCTGAGAAAGCCTCGCTTGGAGCCCTCAGACAAGCTAGAACCCAGAGTCAGGCTTGACCTTGTCCTGCTTTTCTGTAGCGCATTTCCTCTGCCTCCCTCCCAGGCCGCAGTCTCGGAAACTGCTCCTGCTTCTCCGGGGGAGCTGTGGCYGCTCTCCTGTGGCCGTGTTGGCCTCGTGATGGGGGCAGCTCCAGGCTGGCGATGGGCAGGGGCTGTCCTGCTCCTGGGGCTCGTAGGAGGGTCGCGGGAGCGCAGGGACGGTGCCGTGTCGCGGCTCCGGCTGCCCGCAGCCCTGCTCTGCTCCGGGGCACGCTGCTCCGTCCRCGCCCAGGCCTCCTCCCCAATAACCAGCCTTGTACAGCGGCCCCGGCAGAGCTGCCGGGGCCTCTCCCGTGGCAAGGGCCTCGCCAGCGCTGACAGCAGCCTTGTTCCCGCTGCTGGCTCTGCTCRGGAGCAAGCAGGGAGCCGGGCCGGGCCGGTGGGATGCAAGTGCCACCCGTGCCCACTGTCCCTGGACACCTGARCTTCCCACGGCCACCGGGAGAGCAGGGGCTGGTGGAGGGGCTGTCCACACAGTGCTGGTGCCAGCCTGAGCCCAGCCCAAAGCTGCCCAACCCGTTCGGCGCAGGGAGAGGCGGCACGGGATGTGGAGCCGGCCCTGCATCCGGGTCAAGGGAGAGGAGCGGAGCGGAGCGGAGCGGAGCGGAGAGGAGAGGAGAGGAGAGGAGAGGAGAGGAGAGGAGAGGAGGAGGAGGAGGAAAGGACGCATGTCTTGCTACAGCAGCCTAGAGGCAGCGTGTCCTTGCTCGGATCATAGAGGGAAGGAGAAGTGAACAGACAAATGCACACTGCAGTGCACCCGACCTCCGGGCAGGGGAAAACATCCGGCACGAGGCCCGGGGCAGAGCGTGGCATGGCCACGGGACCGTGTGCGAGCAGGCGCAGTGCTCCCGGGGCCAGGGCGGCTCCTCGCAGGCCCCGAGGCCGCTGCTCCGGGACGGCTCCTTCRTCCCGCTCTGCCTCCCTCCTTGTGTGAAGGATCCTGCTCCGCCTGAGCCTCCTCCCCGCCTCCCCCTCTCATCTCTTTTGTGAGTGAATAATTTATGGCACTTTTCATCCTGCTGGCTGCCGCCGCGGTCCGTGGGATGCTGCCGCACTTCCCACCGCTGCAGGGAAGCCGGGTGCTGAGTGCCCGGCTGCGCTGGACACGCGGCCCGCGCGGGCAGCAGCCTTGTGCGGAGCAGGACCTGGAGACAGAGCCGGGAGCCGTGCGCGGAGCGGAGCGGAGCRGGGCCCGGCCGCCCCGGTGCCGCGGCTTCCGTGCGCTCTTACATAAGCCCATTGTCTTGCGAGTCAAAAGGGGTTTTGTCTGCGCTCTGGAGATGTGACAGGAGGAGGAACAATTTGCCCCATTCATGGGGAGTGCTGCCCGCRGCCGCCGCGCCGGCCTCGCCGCGGGGCCGCCRCTCCGGCCACTTCCCTGCCCGCAGAGCTCYGCGAGCAGGTGTTGGAAATCTCCCCTTCCCCTCCTGATCTCTGCAAATCCAGCGCCGCCGAAATCAAGGATAAGCCCGAAGCTTCTTCAAAATGAAAACGCTGAGCCCTGATTAATTCATTTAATAAGTGACTGATCCCCTCCTCCCCCATCGCCGCTACCCAAGGAGCCATTTTGCGCCGGCGCGGAGCGGCCTCCCAGCCTCCCGGCCTCCCGGCTCCGGCGCCTCCGGAGCCCGGCGCCCCGGCCATGCAGAGCCGAGCGCAATATTTAGTTTTCCAACCAAGAGATCGCGCCAGCTCAAAGTTCCGTTGTTTTTACGGTTCCGTCTGCTTGGGCCCGGGCAGGGGGTGCAGGGGGGCTGCCCGTGCCGCTCATTAGCAGCGCTGCCGCGCGGGCTGGCGCCGCAGTGGCCGGTGCGCGGCGGCCCCTGCCCTCCCGCTGCGCACCGGCCCCGCCGGCCTCTGTCCCAACCAGGGGTGTCCCGAGGGTTCCAGCCCCACGCGGGGGGACGCGGGTGCAGGGAGCAGGGCCCCGCGGCCCCCCTGGCCTCTCCGCACGTCCACGTTCGCTCCAGCTGCCTCTGTTGTGATCAGGGATGTCGGCATCTCCGTTCCAGGCTGTCTCTCCGCCTACGAGACGGGATTAATCCACTGCTCTGTATGCGGAGGTTCGGGGCTCGCACACCCAGGGAAGATGTGGGAATAAGAAGGCGGTGGGTGCGGGTGGGCTGGCAGCTCGCTGCTTGGGGCGCTCATCCCTGGGTGATTAGCTGGCAGGAGGGGCMGCTCCCCTGCTCTCGCTGCCCCTTTCATTTCCTTATTGCCCCGGGGCAGCTTCCGAAACACCCTGTCTTGTTTCTTTGCCGTACTTTGGGGCTGYAGCAGAACGGAGGGTGCCGAATGCAGCAGAGCGGGGCAGAAAGCTGCTTTGTGGCCCTGTACATTTTTGGCAAGGGCAGGCCGTGGCGCCCGGGCGGGCGGGAGCGGYGGCTCGTGCCGCTCTGCACGGGCATAATGCTGCCTAATCCTGCCGAGAGGCATCGCGGGATAAGGCTGGAGCCTCCCCGGCGGGCGCGGGGGGGCGGCCCCGGC